TAATAATAATAAAGTTGGAAGAGACCTTGGAGGTAATCTAGTCCAACCCCCTGCTCAGGCAGGAAACCCTATACCATTTCAGACAAATGGTTGTCCAGTTTCTTCTTAAAAACCTCCAGTGTTGGAGCATTCACTGCTTCTGGAGGCAGGTTGTTCCACTGGTTAATTGTTCTAACTGTCAGGAAGTTTCTCCTTAGTTCTAGGTTGCTTCTCTCCTTGATCAGTTTCCATCCGTTGCTTCTTGTCCTACCTTCAGGCGCTTTGGAGAATAGCTTGACTCCCTCTTCTCTGGGGCAGTCCCTGAGATACTGGAAGACTGCTATCATGTCCCCCCTTGTCCTTCATTAAACTAGACCAGTGTTTCTCAACCTTGACAATTTTAAGGCATGTGGACTTCAACTCCCAGAATTCCACAGCCAGCATTGCTGGCTGTGGAATTCTGGAAGTTGAAGTCCACATGCCTTAAAATTGTCAAGGTTGAGAAACACTGAACTAGACATACCCAATTCCATCAACCCTTCCTTATATGTTTTAACCTCCAGTCCCCTAATCATCTTTGTTGCTCTTCTGGATGTTTCAGCTGGGGCAGAATACACCGATGGAAACGGGTTCGGTATACAGGCAGTTCTCGACTTACGAACAGTTCCTTTATAGTGACCGTTCGAAGTTAACAGCAGCATTGAAAAAAGTGACTTTGGACCGTTTTTCACACTTAGGACCGTTGCAGCGTCCCCATGATCCTGCGATTAAAATTCAGGTGCTTGGCAACTGACTCGTATTTATGACGGTTGCAGTGACCCCGGGGGTCACGTGATCCCCTTTGGTGGCCTTCTGACCAGCAAAGTCAATGGGGAAGCCAGATTCGCTTAACAACCGTGTTGTTCTTAACAACTGCAGTGATTCGCTTAACAGCTATGGCAAGAAAAGTCGTAAAATGGGGCAAACTTACTTAACCACCATCTCGCTTAACAACATAAATTTTGGGCTCAATCGTGGTCGTAAGTCGAGAACTACCTCTACTCCCAGATTCCTAATTTGCGCTTGGGTCCAATTCAAGGTGCTGGTTTTAAATCTTTGAAGCATCTGCCTGCCCATTATAACAATAAGTGATTCACTTAACAACCGGCAAAAAAGGCCGTAAAATGGGAAACCCAACAAATGTCTTGCTTAGCAATGCAAATTTGGGGCTCAGTCCTGGTCATAAGCTGAGGACTCCCTGTACAGCATTTCTCACCACGTTTAGGGACAATTCAAAACAATTGTAATAGTCCTCTAAGAGTAGTTGACACTCAAAAAACAAATAAATAAAAATTCGGCAGATAAGATTTCCCCCCCCCCCTTTGTGTTTCAGACAGTCTTGTCCCTTTCCATGCAAATTCTAAGATTAGGGAAGAAAAATCCAGATCTGTTTACTCTAGTTTAATAATAGTAGTAGTAGTAGTAGTAGTAGTAGTAGTAGTAGTAGTAGTAGTAGTAGTAGTAGTAGTAGTAGTAGTAGTAGTAGTAGTAGTAAAGTTGGAAGGGACCTTGGAGGTCATCTAGTCCAACCCCCTGCTATCATGTCCCCCCTCGTCCTTCTCTTCATTAAACTAGACATACCCAATTCCAGCAGCCTTTCCTTATATGCTTTAGCCTCCAGTCCCCTAATCACCTTTGTTGCTCTTCTCTGTCCTCTTTCCAGAGTCTCAACATCTTTTTTACATCGCAGTGACCAAACCTGGATGCAGTGTTCCAAGTGTGGCCTTACCAAGGCATTGTAAAGTGGTATTAACACTTCACTGATCTTGATTCTAGGGAAATGGAAAGTAAAACTTTCAAGAAAAATCTAGCAAGGAGAAACAGAAATGTTTATATTTAGTTCTGCTGAATGAGTGAAGAAACGAAACCAAATAAGCTCCCTGTACATTTTAGGAGTCAGAAGCTGTAATCTGAACCGTCTTGGTCTCTTAGAAATGACTTCATTTTCCCACAATGGGGACTAAAAATAAATGAAATAAAAGTCAATGGGTCCTGGCTAAAAGGTTTGAAATGCTATTGTGTAAGAGCTAAATGGAGAAAAAAATCACAGATTTTTCACCTCCCTCGGGTGCTGTTTCTACACTTACATTTTTTAAAAACTGTTTTTCCTTCAGGGGTGGTGAAGGCCATACAGATAGTCCTTGAAATTGGGACCAGGATTTCCATTGCTAAGCAGGGTGGTTGTTAAGAGAGTTGCGACCAATTTTTAAAAAAAATTGCTACCGATATTAAACAACTCGCTGTGGTTGTTAACTGAATCATATCTGAACTTGAGTTTGGCCAGTCTAAAGAAAAGAAGAAATAGGGGAGACATGATAGCAGCGTTCCAGTATCTGAGGGGCTGACACAAAGAAGAGGGGGTCAAATTATTCTCCGAAGCACCAGAGGACAGGACAAGAAACAATGGTTTGGAAACTGATCAAAGAGAGAAGCAACCTGGAATTAAGGAGAAACTTCCTGACAGTGAGGACAATCAACCAGTGGAACAGCTTGCCTCCAGAAATCATGGGTGCTCCATCACTGGAGATTTTTAAGAAGAGGCTAGACAGTCACCTGTCCGAGATGGTATAGCTTCTCCTGCTTGAGCAGGGGGCTGGACTAGAAGACCTCCAAGGTCCCTCCCAGCTTTATTCTATTCTTAAAGTAAATCCAGTTTCCCTCATTGACTTTGCTTGTCGGAAGCCAGCTGGGAAAGACGTAAATGGTGATCATGTGACCCCAGGATGACACTGACCGATGAATAATAATAATAATAATAATAATAATAATAATAATAATAATAATAATAATAATAAAGTTGGAAGGGACCTTAGTGGTCATCTAGTCCAACCCCCTGCTCAGGCAGGAACCCTACACCATTTCAGAAAAATGGCTGTCCAGTCTCTTCTTAAAAACGTCTAGTGTTGGAGCATTCACCACTTCTGGAGGCAGGTTGTTCCACTAGTTAATTGTTCTAACTGTCAGGAAGTTTCTCCTTAGTTCTAGGTTGCTTCTCTCCTTGATTAGTTTCCATCCGTTGTTTCTTGTCCTGCCTTCAGGCGCTTTGGAGAATAGCTTGACTCCCTCTTCTTTGGGGCAGCCCCTGAAATACTGGAACACTGCTATCATGTCCCCCCCTCGTCCTTCTCTTCATTAAACTAGACAACTAAACTAGAATAAAAGTAACAAGAATTATGACGAGACCTTCCATTATCAAAACCGCCCCCCAAAACAGTTTCAAGTCCTCCCTGCATTGTTTTATAAACTTGAAACTATATTCTGTGCAAAGATTGATGAAAAGCAGCTGTCTGGAATCTAATGCTTTTGCAAGGCAATGCATAGGACCTTAGGCTGAATATCCATCCTATTGTTCATTAACTCCATTATCCATCACGAGTACTAAAAGAGGTCATTGGTTGGTCGTGCGTGCAAAGAGGTCATATTTTGATCATACGTGGATTCTTTCTGGATATTATTATTATTATTTATTGAATTTATATACCGCCCTATCTCCCTTACAGGACTCAGGGCGGTGAACAGGCAATAATAAAAACCACGATAAATATACACAAATTTCTGTTCTAAAATCAAATTAAATAACAGGCCTGCTCTAAAAATACCCCATACAAAACCCCCACTAAAACATAATCAAACTACGCCAGTTTGAGTTTGGAGTTTCACACTTGGTTTCTTAATATCCAAAGTATTTCTCCCACAACCAAGCATGTAAGAATATGCAATATATGTAGAGCAGTGTTTTTCAACCTTAGCCATTTGAAGATGTGTGGACTTCAACTCCCAGAATTCCCCAGCCAGCATGAAGTCCACACATCTTCAAATGGCTGAAAAACAATGCTGTGGAGCATAAGATACATTCGGCAGACCACAAGGTCATGAAGTTGCTATGTGTGCATTGTTCAGTGTCTCTTCACCCAGGCTAGTTTGGAAATCTGGCATGGACCAAAAGTGTTGGGATTGAACTGCCCAGTCCATATGGCTCAACCAATCTCACTGATGTTCTATGCCGATCTAAGTGCAAAAGTGTGTGTGTATGCTTTTATGCACACCTGAATAAGAGTCTGATTTATCACTGAAGTCTAAATCTGGTTTGTTTGTTTACGCAGCAATTCCAAAGGGTGCCACCTGATCGGTAGGTGAGCCTTGGGGGGAGGGGCTAAGTCACATTCTACACCAGGGGTCTCCAAACTTGACAACTTTAAGACTTGTGGACTTCAACTCCCAGAATTACCCACCCAGCATGGCTGGCTGAGGAATTCTGGGAGTTGAAGACCAAAAGTCTTAAAAGTTGCCAAGTTAGAGACCCCTATTCTACACAAAAGTATTGATTTAAATGTTCCTCAGTTCCAATGATTCTGGGTATTTTACAAAAATATAATAGATAGATAGATAGATAGATAGATAGTGAGGAGAACCCATGGCCTACAGATTAATACAGCTGCCTAACATGCAAGCGGCCCGGGTTCAAATCTCAGAAGGGTATGGCTAGCTGATGAGAGCTAAATAGCTCGAAAAAGCTATACTAGTCTCCCTTTAATTCTTTGTCGGCAAAAATCTCAATTTAACACAGAAATAGTTTATCGCAGTAGCGACTTTAGCCTGTAAAAAGCTCCTAGATTGGGGCTGAAAGGCAATAGTAAAAGCAGAAGTCCCATATTTGGGTAGACCAGGTGCTCTATTAGACCAGTTTCACCGGAAAACACTTTAGATTAGATAGATAGATAGATAGATAGATAGATAGATAGATAGATAGATAGATAGATAGATAGATAGATAGATAGATAGATAGATAGATAGATAGATAGATAGATAGATAGATAGATAGATAGAAGACAGAAGTGGTCAGTCTCTTTAAATGATCTGAGATACAAGATAGATTTTGAGTATTCTAAACTGGAATACAGAGAGTCTGTCCCAATTGAGCGGTTTCTATGGCAATAAAATTAGAAAGGAAGTGGAACTACCTGCCTGCAGAAGCGGTGAATGCTCCAACACTGGAGGTTTTCAAGAAGAGACTGGACAGCCATTTGTCCAAAATGGTATAGGGTTTCCTGCCTGAGCAGGGGGTTGGACTAGATGACCTCCAAGGTCCCTTCCAACTTTATTATCATCATCATCATCATCATCATCATCATCATCATCATCATCATTATTATTATTATTATTATTATTATTATTATTATTATTATTATTATATTTTCACTATATTCAACTTCTAGAGGTGATTGCAGAATGTCACTAATCAAAGGAAATTATAATCAATTATATTTTCTTGTTTACAGTTGTTTGGAAGAAGGCTTATTTAAGATTTAGACCTTACAAATAGATTTCTTTTGTTGTCTTTTTTTTTAATTAGAGCATAAATAGGCGTAACTGGAACGCAGCCAGAGATATGCAGAAATATAGGCGGCATTACCCGGTAAGATTTCCTGTGCGTTATGGTTACATTGATTGAGCTTCCATCTAGAGGGGTGGAATAGAAATTTGGGTTGAAATGCCTGTTCGTTTTTGTTGTTGTTTTGAGCTGATTTTCCCCTGCTTAACTGATCATACCCCACCCTGAAATGCAATTATTCAAGTTGGGGATCCATAAACATTTTTAAAAAAAAGCTTGTGTTTGCTTTTTCTGATATAACTTGAATATCAGAATAGAGAGGGTCCTGGTATTGGGACCCATGAAGCTACTCCGGCTGCATAGAAGTTGTTAAGAATGGGACAGCAAAGATTTATGGGTGGAAATAGCCCTTAAGAATTCCTGGTACTGGGTTTAATTGTGAATGGATTAATAATACCCCTGTTTGCTGACCATCTCCCTTCCATCTCTCCCTGCCTCTCTCTCTCTTTATCTTCCAGGGATTAACAGAAATTGAGGTCAATGAGGAAGAAATGTGGAACCTGAGCTTTTACAAAAATGAGATTAATTTTTTGCCCCGGGGTAAGGCTTCTGAAACTGCTTGGTTTTCCAAGGGGAAAGGGTGAGGATCATAATTGGGTTTCCCTGTTGGCCTTTGACATGGCAATACATTGCATTTAGTTAAAGGCTTTCCTTGTTTCCTTCCTTCCTTCCTTCCTTCCTTTTTTTCCCTCTGTTCCTTCCTTCCTTTCCTCCCTCCTTCTCCCCTTCCTTTCTTGCTTCCCTCCTTTCCTTCCTTCCTTCCTTCCTTCTCTTTTTCCCTGTTCCTTCCTTCCTTTCCTCCCTTCCTCTCCTCATCCTTTCTTGCTTGCTTCCTTCCTTCCTTCCTTCCCTTTTTTCCCTCTGTTCCTTCCTTTCCTCCCTTCTTCTCCCCCTCCTTTCCTTCCTTCCTTCTCTTTTCCCCTCTGTTCCTTCCTTCCTTTCCTCCCTCTCCCCTTCCGTTCTTCTCCCCATCCTTTCTTGCTTGCTTCCCTCCTTTCCTTCCTTCCCTCTCTTTTTCCCTCTGTTCCTTTCCTCCCTCCCTCTCCCCATCCTTTCTTGCTTGCTTCCCTCCTTTCCTTCCTTCCTTCCCTTTTTTCCCTCTCTTCCTTCCTTTCTTCCCTCCCTCTCCCCATCCTTCCTTGCTTGCGTCCCTCCTTTCCTCCCTCTCCTCTTGACTTACAACAGTTTGTACAGTGACTGTTTGAAGTTACAACCAGCACTGAGAAAGTGATTTATGACTGTTTTCATACTTAAAAACCATTGCAGCATCCCCCTGGTCATGTGATCAAAATTTGGACGCTGAGCAACTGGCATGGATTTAGGACCTTCCGACAGGCAACAAGATAATGGGGAAGACAGATTCACTGAACAGCCGTGTTACTCACTTAATAACCGCCGTGATTCGCTTAACAACTATAGCCAGAAAGGTTGTAAAATGGGGCAAAACTCACTTACCAACTGTCTCGCTTAGCAAAATCCATGTCGGTCTAAATTTTGGTTGTAAGTCAAGGACCACCTGACCCAGAGATAGAATGAAAGGACCATGTTCTCTCCTCATTTCATAGCTGCAGACACATGTGGATAATTTGCTTTCTGTAACTAGAAACCAAATGAGTAGAAATAATTGCACCCGACAATGTTCACTCGGGGGTGTTTGTAGTTCAAGTGAGCTTTGCAAAAAATTGTGGTGGTTTGTTTTTTTTTTAAAGTCTTATTTGGCCTCCTAAAGTTAGCAGGGCAGCAAGAGAAAATAATGGCAGTAAGCCAAATTCCCAGGCTAAATGTGTCCTAATTAGGAGGAAGCATTGAACTTCTAAGGGGGAAATGATGCCTGGCAGGGCTTCTGGGGTAAATTGCATAACAAGCCTTGTAAAACCAACATCTCATTTGAATTTCTTTAATACAAGCGGTCCTCGACTTTTACAGTCGCAACTCAGCTCTAAATTTCTCTTGCTAAGCGAGACAGTTAAGTGAGTTTTGCCCCATTTGCTTGTCAGAAGGCCACACAAAGTGATGACATGACCCCGGGGCACTGCAACCATCCTAAATATGAGCCAAGTGTCGAGTGTCTTAATTTCGATCACGTGGCCATGGGGATGCTGCAACGGTTGTACAGTAGTGGCCAAAATTGTGGAAACCTTTTGGGAAAAGTATATTTTTGAGGTTTGATGGCTAATAACACCACTTTTTGGAGGGGAGTAGTACCATAAAATTATATATCAATGGAAAGATAATTTAATCAAGAATGTAATGCAACAAAGTTTGTTCAATTATCTGTATAATGTATTCTATGAAAAGTTATAACCAAATAACCAGAAAAAGGAAGCACAACTTGCTTAGGTTGATGTCAGGTAACTCCTTCATCTGATTGTAGTCAATGAGCGTGAGTGTTTAGAGAGCCAATCAGGTGTCATCATGTTTTGGCCATGAGCCAATCATATCACAGCAGGATTCAGTTATTGATGTCCTGTATTGAAGCCGAGAGGAGGACATTGGTCAGTGTGTCATGTGATCGCTATCAAGTTGGTTGGCTTTTTTTGTGTTCTTTCATTTAGTGAGCTTGTAAAACGTAATATAATGGTGCAAAGAGTTGACTGGTTGCCCAGAAAGCAATGTAAAATAGTATTATTAAGTGAACAAGGCTACAGCTATAAAGAAATTAGAAGAAAAATGGATGGAAACTTAACCAAAGGTGGCATTTCTACTGTACACTTTTCCCAAAAGGTTTCCACAATTTTGGCCACTACTGTAAGTGTGGGGGGGAAAAACTAAGTCATTTGTCTGAAAGGGTATAGGGTTCCTGCTTGAGCAGGGGGTTGGACTAGATCTAACATCATCGTTGTTGTTGTTGCTGTTGCTGCTGCCCAGGTTTGCCCAGTAGAGTCTACTTTTTGACCTGATCTGCCCTGAATGGCTGCCTAAATCATAGTTGTCCCTCAGCCGAAGAAAAGATCAGGCTTTCATGACTTAGAAATATTCCTCGACTTAACAACCATTCACTCAGTGACTGGTCAAAGTTACTGTGACCCTGAAAAAAAATGACTAATGACCAGTTCTCACACCTATGACCGTTGCAACATCCCCATGGTCACGTGATCAAAATTTAGATGCTTGGCCACAGACTCACATTTATGACGGTTGCTGTGTCCCAGGGTCACGTGATCCCCTTTTGCGACCTTCTGACAAGCAAAGTCAATGGGGGAAGCCAGAATTCACTTAACAACCGTATTACTAACAGCTGCAGGGATTCACAGAACAACTTTGGCAAGAAGAGTCGTAAAGTGGAGCAAAACCCGCTTAGCAACTGTTTTGCTCAGCCACAGAAATTTTGGGCTCAGTTGTGGCCATATGTCAAGGACTGCCTGTCTTCCATTTTCTTGGCCCCAGAAGAAAGTTCTATTTCGTAGCGTATCTTAACATTCTTCCTCCTCCACAATCATAAAATAATAAAGTTGGAAGGGACCTTGGAGGTCATCTAGTCCAACCCCCTGCTCAGGCAGGAAACCCTATACCATTTCAGACCAATGGCTGTCCGGTCTCTTCTTAAAAACTTCCAGTGTTGGAGCATTCACCGCTTCTGGAGGCAGGTTGTTCCACTGGTTAATCATTCTAACTGTCAAGAAGTTTCTCCTTAGTTCTAGGTTGGTTCTTTCTTTGGTTTGTTTCCATCCATTGCTTCTTGTCCTGCCTTCAGGCGCTTTGGAGAATAGCTTGACTCCCTCTTCTTTGGGGCAGCCCCTGAGATCATTCATATCTGTCCTTGTTTTCCTTTCCTCCTCCTTCAAGGTCTCTACATTGAAGATCTCCTTGAGAACTGGCAAGATAACTACGGAGTTTTGGAAGAAAACCATTCATATATTCAGTGGTAAAATGATGTGCTCTTTTGCAATTGTTTTATTAAATACATGATGGGGTCCGGAAAAAGTCTTAGGAATAAAAATGGTAGAGGTTGGCACATTGCAGTCTGACATGTCAGTTTCCCAGTTAAAGGTAGTCCTCGACTTAACGGCCGGAATTTCCATGGCAGTTGCTAACTTGAGTCACGATCAATTTTACAGCCTTTTTTGCCACTGGTGTTAAGTGAATTGCATGGTCATTAAGTGAATCTGGCTTCTCCTATTTGGCCTCGTATGTCAGAAGCCAGACAGGAAGCTCGCAAATGGGGATCCCGTGACCCTGGGACGCTGCAACCATCCTAAATACATGCCAGTTGCTAAACGCCTTGATTAAGTAATAATAATAATAAAGTTGGAAGGGACCTTGGGGGTCATCTAGTGTTCTAGTCCAACCCCCTGCTCAGGCAGGAAATCCTAATCACAACTGTGCATATGTGCAAGTCCCACAAGCAAGTCATAAGTTACTTTTTTCAGTGCTGTTAATAGCTTTTGACAGGTGGCGAAATGAATAGTTGTAAGTCAAGGACTACTTATTTTTTTAAAAAAATCTTTTGTGAAAGGGATTCCGTGCCGAAAAGTTGGTCACCATGCCCATGGTGGACACCATTTAATCATGGACCGTCCACCATTCGCTGGTAGGATGTTTTCATCACCCCCTCCCCTTACTCGAGTTGGCCACTGTCGTCGCGTGTTCGGACTCGTTCTCTACCGACCTCGACGTCCCGACAGTCCCGAGTCCGGAAGCGCCAGGATGAGCGCCAGGCTCCAGCTGGAGCTCAGCACTGATCCTGGTGCTTCTGCTGAGCCCTGAAGAAGCACCGATCAGCTGGAATGTTGCAGCATCTCCAGGGTCTTGTGATTCACATTCAGATGCTTGGCAACTGATTCATATTTATGACGGTCACAGTGTCCCAGGGTCATGTGAAGTAACCAAAACCTGCTGCAACCACGAAGCAGACGGGGGGGAATAAAAACCAAACACCCCCCACCCCCGCTGCCAATCCTCAACAGAAATGCTCACAACAATGAAAACCTCGGACAGGAGGAAGAGTGCTGCCGGGCGGGCAGGCAGGTGTCTTGCTCGGCTGTGCCTGGAGGGACACTTTTTTCAGTGCCATTGTAACAGTCGAACAGTCACTAAGTGAACTGTTGTAAGTCGAGGACTACATGTACTTTATCACATTTTTCGGGGGGGGGTTGGTCAACAATTTTTTGACACCTTGCTAGGCGACGTGGTACTCGGATATTGCCATCTCCTAAAAGGGGTACAATGGGTGAAAAGGTTGAAAAGCCCTGCCCTAAGGCATGGAGTTTGGTGCATAGCAAGCGTTTCTCCAGTTCAGTGATGGCGAACCTTTTAGAGACTGAGTGCCCAAAAACTGGCCCTGCCCCAGTTCCGTCCCCACCCCGCCTGCCCGCAGGGCCACTCACTGCCTCCAGGGCCTGCCACAGATCACCCAGCAGCACCATGGAGGCCATGCCCTCTGCCCGCGCCCCGCAGCATCAACTGTGCACTATGGGGCATGAGGGCAGAGTCTTGTCTACGCTGCCTGGCTGCCATGTCCTTAGCTGCACTGCTCCGCGTGGACCACGCTTGGGGGGCGACTCTCCTCCAGGGGGGCTGCTGGTGAGGGGGTCACGGGGGAGGTGAGGCTGGGGCAACGGCACGTGTGCCCATAGAGAGGGCTCCGAGTGCCGCCTCTGGCACCCGTGCCATAGGTTCGCCACCACTGTCCTCGTTTGTAATCTTCAGACACACCAGTTCTCTGAGGAAAACCTCTATAGCAAAAGGGCTGTAATCAACAATGGATTGTTTTTATTATAGGTAATCCTCGACTTCCCCTCATAGTTGAACCCAAAATTTCTATTGCTAAGCGAGCCAGTTGTTAAGCGGGTTTGGCCCCATTTTACGAGCTTTCTTGCCACAGCTGTTTTAAGAGAATCGCTGTAGTTGTTAACTTAGTAACACTTTTGTTAAGTAAATCTGGTTTAGTAACACGGTTTAGTTTACTTAACTTTTGTTAAGTAAATCTGGTTTAGTAACACGGTCACAAAAGGGGATCACATGATTCCGGGACACTGCAACCGTCCTAAATATGAGTCAGTTGACAGGTGTCTGAATTTGGATCATGTGACCACGGGGCATGCTGCAGTGGTCCTAAGTGTGAAAAACGGTCAAAAATCCCTTTTAGTGCCATTGTAACTTTGAATGGTCATTAAATCAATTGGTGCTTTCTATGTTGCAATGCTTTAGCACAACGGTCTTCAAACCTGGCCCTTTTATGACTTGTGGACTTCAACTCCCAGAATTCCTCAGCCAGGCACGCGTGCCTGGCTGAGGAATTCTGGGAGTTGAAGTCCACAAGTCATAAAAGGGCCGAGTTTGAACACCCCTGCTTTTAGCATAAGGTTTTAATGCAAACATTCCTTGGCAATTACCCCATTAAAAATTACAGCCCTAAGTCACATTTTTCAGTGCCGTTATAACTTTGAGCAGTCACTAAATGAACTATTGCAAATCGAGGACGTCTTGCACACTTACTGTACTGCAAGAGTAAATTTATTGTGGAGTAAATCGGACTAAAATAAATATTTATGTGCAACGTAGAAATTTTGCCATTTTGATCCCAGGAGCAGGCTGAGCCCAATATGTGTGAAATGTCTAATTGCTTCTTTTAGGGATGTGCAAAATGTCTTGATCAAGATATTTTGCCCTTCCTTAACTCTTCTAAATAGCTGCTGCTCACTCAGAAGCATCAGTTGAGCTAAACCAGGGATAGGCAACCTTGGCTCTTTTATGACTCGTGGACTTCAGCTCCCAGAATTCCTGAGCCAGCATGGCTCAGCTTGGAAACCTCCCTTTCCCCTCAGCGTGGCTGGCTCAGGAATTCTGGGAGTTGAAGTCCACGAGTCATAAAACAGCCAAGGTGGCCTACCCCTGAGCTAAGTGTTTAATGCTGCTGTTTTGCTGCAGTGCATTTCATTAAAGTGAGTGTTTCTTTCTGATATATATTTTTTTTTAAATCTTTTCTGACTGGCAGATGTTTTGTTCCTTCCAGGCTGTTTCCTTTACGTGAACAAGGGATGAATTTTCATGCCAAACGGCTCACGTGCCAAGAAATTGAGGTAGGAAGATCTTTTCTCGTTTTTGTAACATTCCCATCTCATCCGTGAAATTACGTTTTTTTTATACTTCGTCTGACTGCATCCACCGTGTTTAGCCCAACTGCGAGCATCACATTTTGCAATTCATTAACACGTTTTACTGATTTCTAAGATGTACAGGAACAAGTGATTAGGACCTGTAATAGATTGAGGCCGAGAATTTAGGAGGGACTTTTTTTCAGGATCCAATCTGGATCGGTCGGTGGGACCAGAACTTCCTGGGGGCCCCCCCAAAGTTTGCTTCTTTCTTCACAAATTTTTTCACCCACTCTTTCCCTGAAGGAAGCAATATGGGTAGTCCTTGGTGTATGACCATAATTGAGCCTAAAATTTCTGTTGCTAACCGAGACCGTGGTTGCCTGGGTTTTGCCCCATTTTATGACCTTTCTGGCCACAGTTGTTAAGTGAATCGCTGCAATTGTTAGATGTATATACCGCTTCACAGTGCTTTACAGCCCTCTCTAAGCGGTTTACAGAGTCAGCATCTTGCCCCCAACAATCTGGGTCCTCATTTTATCGACCTTGGAAGGATGGAAGGCTGAGTCAACCTTGAGCCGGTCAGGATCAAACTCCTGGCAGTCGGCGGAGTTAGCCTGCAATACTGCATTCTAACCACTGCACCACCAACGGAATGGAATGGAATATCAATATCAATAGACTTATATACCGCTTCACAGTGCTTTACAGCCCTCTCTCTCTAAGCGGTTTACAGAGTCAGCCTATCGCCCCCAACAATCTGGGTCCTCATTTTACCGACCTCGGAAGGATGGAAGGCTGAGTCAGACTTGAGCTGGTCAGGGTCAAACTGCTGGCAGCCGGCAGTCAGCAGAAGTAGCCTGCAATTCTGCATTCTAACTACTGCGCCACCACGGTTCATAATAAAGCTTTAACACAAACATTCATTGGTGGTTTCCCCATTAAAAGTTACATCCACCAAATTAAACGGTAGAAATATAATGCCAAATAGCAAAAAAAAAAAAAATGAGACGAAATAGCAAGTTACAATTGGGGTAGATATTTCACATGATCCTTTTTTATATGCCTAAGTGTACTGGAGGGTGTGTGTGTGATTTGATATTTGATGTCTTTTTTCTTTTCTTTTCTTTTCTTTTTTTTTTTGATATCTCAGGCCTTTAAGAAATCTAAAGAAGTCATGGAGAGGTTCGTCCGGGCTTATAAACTCATGTTGAAATTTTACGGCATCAACTTAATCAGTGAGGAAACGGGAGAATTGAAAAAAGCTGAAAACTGGTCTGAGCGATTTGGGAATCTGAATCGGTGAGTTTCTTCAGAGATTATCTCTCGGCCTGCTTTCACCTGCATGCCTTATAACTGGCACCTTTATCTGACACCAGAATTGCCCCAGATGAATTGAAGCCGATAAGACCTATGAGGAAGTGTCAGCATAGGCTCTGATGATGGGATCCTTGGTGCTCTCTGAGCTTGGTTGTTTTCTTGCAGCTGTTTCATTGCCCAACTAGGTAACATCATCAGTGCTAGAAGGGAGGGTGTTTGTGAGGAGGAAGAGGAGGAGAAGGAGGAGGAAGAGGACTGTGGGGTCCTTGGTGCTCTCTGAGCTTGGTTGTTTTCTTGCAGATGTTTCATTGCCCAACTAGGTAACATCCTCAGGGCTAGAAGGGAGTGGATTTTAAACTTATTTTTATAAACTAGTCACTTGCCAATCAGTGGTTCCTTGATTAGGCTGTTATTTAATAATAATGATGATGATAAAGTTGGAAAGGACCTTGGAGGTCATCTAGTCCAACCCCCTGCTCAGGCAGGAAACCCTATACCATTTCGGACAAATGGCTGTCCAGTCTCTTCTTAAAAACTTCCAGTGTTGGCGCATTCACAGCTTCTGGAGGCAGGTTGTTCCACTGGTTAATTGTTCTAACTGTCAGGAAGTTTCTCCTTAGTTCTAGGTTGCTTCTCTCTTTGGTTAGCTTCCATCCGTTGCTTCTTGTCCTGCCTTCAGGCGCTTTGGAAAATAGCTTGACTCCCTCTTCTTTGGGGCAGCCCCTGAGATACTGGAACACTGCTATCATGTCTCCCCTCGTCCTTCTCTTTGTTAAACTAGACATACCCAATTCCAGCAACTGTTCCTTATATGTTTTAGCCTCCGGTCCCTTAATCATCTGTATTGCTCTTCTCTGCACTCTTTTTAGAGTCTCAACATCTTTTTTACATTCTGGTGACCAAAACTGGATGCAGTAAGTGGCCTTACCAAGGCATTGTAAAGTGCTATTAACACTTCACATGTTCTTGATTCTGTTAATGCAGCCTAGGACTGCATAGGCTTTTTTTGGATTGTCGGCAAAAGCATCATGAAACACGCTCACATGATTGCAGGATGCTGCAAATGTCCATGAATTAATTAATTAGCTTTTCATACTGCTTAACTTGCTCTAGGCAGGCAGTGTACAATTTAATCATTAAAATTAAGCATTTAAAATGCTTAAATGCAGCTCAGTTTGTCAGCTGCCCGAAATTCAGTCATGTGACATTCGGGGGAAGGAAGCCAACTCACCA